GGAGCCAGTGTTCAGTGGAACTGTCTGCTGGCTATGTGGGTCAGACCATGATTTAGCCTTAAGCAATCAGAGAGAGGAAAAAAGTACTAGAGTGTTGAGCAGTTTTTGAGTATATTAAGAAAAATACAATACACTGCAATTAACTGGAGCCTAGAAATTAAGATGTGATTGGCTGTTACAAGCAGATTTGTTTAAAATATCTCATTAACTCAGCATAAATCTAGGCAGTTTGTGTGCTGAATATTTCATAGGCAAATGCCTCCCCTAAGCTTAGTTTCTCAGTTGCAGTTATACTAATAAAGTTTCAATACAGGAGTGAGAAAGCTGACTGAGAAGTGTCTAGATTTCTGTAAGGGTCACAGTGCATCCTTCCCAGAAGCCCCATAATGAATTTAGCACAGGTTAAGTTGCAGAGCACTCTTGTTTTGTGTCACTTTGAAGAAAGGATAACATGAGGTAGATTGTAATATAACGAAAAGTGTATAATATAAATAACATAAAGAAAGGCAATGATTGATAGGAAGAATAAAACAAACCAAATCAACAACAAAGGAAATAGTAAGGAAACATGCTCATATGTGCTGCTATTGGCATAGTTTATGTTTTTAAATATATGACTGGTAAAGAAAATGCAAGTCCAGCAGCTGAATAATCCTGTTTGAAAGAATTAATTACTTCCAAGTATAGGAAGCAACTGATAGGAATTATTTACATTTTGATAAGATGCTAGTATTTTATCTTAACATGTATGCAGCTGTCAATCACAGTAAGACATGCATTTGTTGAGTAATCTCTCTAGGCTTTCTAGGAAGTAAGGACAATTGTGCCTATTTATACCTGATTCAGTTACTAATGAGAGCTTGAAATGTCTTCAGACTGGCTGTGTTTGAAGATGCACTGATAAGAAGCCAGAATTTCACCTTCTTTTTCTTGAAGTGCCATGTTGCTTTGACTGTATTTTCCAGGAGGAAAAAAAAAACCTACCCACACCTCCTTTTGCTAATGAATTGCTTTAGAATTTATAATATTTCAGACATTCTAAGTACTTTAAAAATCGGCAACGTAAGCACAGAACTAGAATGCTGCCACCACATGAGAAAACTGTGAAATGATCATTAAGAAGCCAGAACAATTCTTCTAACTATTCTCAATGGAAAATATATGCATTCATACAAACAACTTTTTTCCTCAAAAGCAATCTAATTTATTTAAGAGCTTATTTAAACTGCTAAAGGCTGTCAGTGGAATTAGTTGTGAAAGAATTTGACCATTCATTGGAAAATATTTTCAGCTTATAGCCCTATCTTTGTAATAGCTCAAAATCTGCTCTAGGATAAGCCATGACTCCCACTCTAGATGCAACCTCATTAAGCCATTAACAGGACTGACAAACACCAGAGGGCTTTAAGAAAAGCCCATCAACTGTTGATGAAAGCTACTAGCATTCCTGATGACAGCACCTCTAGCAAGGGAGATTATGGTCCCAGTTGCTCAGTGTACCACACATACTATCTAATGTCCAGCATGTAATACCTAAGTATCATCTCTGTGTATAAGCAAGATGAGTACCCTGTTCCTATTCTGTGCACTGTAGTCTAAGCAGTTCCCAAAGCAGTCTTCATGATAATTGTCAGCAGACACAGTTACTTTATGTCTCTGCTGAGAACAAAGTGTAGTCCCTCAGAGTGAAATAAACGTAGGCACAGAGTTCATGGCGAGGACACTGGTTAAGTCATCAGAAAGATGTTCTGCTATTAGGGTGAAAGGGGAAAAAAACTATCCCACAACACTGCTTGAGATCTTGTATGATCTTTAAAACAAATGGCACGCAGCCTACCCTGCCTTGCACATGCAAACTAGAATAAGTAATTCATTGAGAGAGATAGCTTTAGAATTCATTGTTTCATGAGACAATACTCTTGCATATCCAAGTGGTAACCAATCAAAATGTTAATAAAGAAAGGCCTAAGAACAGGTTTGAGCACAGCTCATTTGCGTTACAGTGATTGCTATCTCATGGAAGATTTATTTTATGCATATTTATTCTAAATTAATATTCCTGCTAGTCTCTGCTCAGGTCCTTCACATTTATATACAAGCATTTTCATTTATGGGAACAAAGAAAGAAGAAAAAGCATTAGCAAGCAAATGGGACGTACCAGGAGATTTTCTGGCTTGATGTCTCTGTGTACAATGTTGAGGCCATGAAGGTATTTTAGTGCACTGGCTAGATTGTAGACCATTGCACTCCCATCTCGTTCTGTATATTTTGTAGAGGAAGTGATAGCATCAAATAGATCTCCTCCCTAAAGTAATGGGAAGGTAATAGGTCACTACAGGAAAAATAATTAAGATGCTTAAGATGTTTCACAAAAAGCCCCATAAACAACAGGCAAGCTCAGAAGCCTGTTAAACACCTGGAAAGAAATAGAGCATTCCCTTTGAAACAACAGCTGTATTTGGGAAGGATGACCTTGTCAGCAAGATACTAGGTTGGGAATTGGGTCATCTGTGTTAAATTCTCAACTGTACTCCAGGCTTCTTATGCCTGAGTTTGGGAAAAATCACAGATCTCCTGGCCTTAATTTCATTCTACTGATTGGAAACACTCAGTTATTCCATCTCCCCACCTCTGATTTGTGTTATATACAGATACATGAACACAGTTTCCCTTTTCCTCTTCTTACCAGTACTATACCTTTGTATAGCATAAAACAGCCTCTGTTTTTGAGTAAAGCCTAATATAATATAAATCAGCTTAAATAATGAAAATCCTAATGTAACACAAATATTCAGCAATTGTAACAAACTGTAAATTGGAACACTGCAAATATTACAAAAATACCAGATAAATATGGCTGAGTGGACCAACATAAGCATTACATTCCAATGTACAGAACCCACAGGTGATTTCTGTTTGGGACACCCTATAGCTCCTGGGGTATATAATAACATATAAATTAATTACTGATACAGCATTTCCAGGCATTGCGGCAATTTTTAAACCTAGGTGTCTGCATGATGGTTACCCTGGATACATCTGTAGGAGTGATTTGCCTGCGCTGTGGGTGGCATTCCAAGCGTTTCGGTATATGTGGAAGAGAGACAGGAAATATGCCAAGGTGGTAGCATATCCAAAAAAAAAAAAAAAAAAAGGAAGCATTTTAAAAAAAAAAGTGTCATAGGAACAAAAAAAAGTCTCTGCTATATAAATCAAGCTTCTAAATGGACAGTTTTATAGCAAATATTCAACTACAGATTTTCTTTAGAGGTTCATCAAGCTGGAAACCATTCGACAGAGGATTCTTGAATCTAACAATGTTTCAGACAGAAATACAAAGTTAAGTGATTACTAATGTGATATGTTAATTTGTATCTGATAGGCTGATCAAGTCTATGCGCAGTATTGCTGTGTATGTGTAGAACACAGACAAGAGAGAGCAGGCCACTAAAATGTGATCCACCTTGGGTTTTTGATTCACATGGTGTCCTTTGCACTGCTGCAGTTTTACCTGCTCTGCTGAAAGCTTTCATTTCAAGTAATTAGACAATCAAAATGTCATTAAGACTTTTGTCAGTCAAAAGTTTTTGGACTGTTTTAGAATTCTTATGCATTTCCTTGTATCATGATGGAAGGTGTATTTTGAAATTCAAAATGGTATGTTTTATTCAGTATCACATTTACTAGGTGTTTCCTTTACATTATTAACTGTCAAATGCCTGCTGTTTTTCTGTTGTAGTACGTGTAAAAGCATCAAGGTTTTTTTGAAGGGTTTGCAGCAGAGGTTTTCCAAGACGATTTTAATGATGTCATCGGTTTAATCATTTTCAGGCAGGGTCAGTATCATTTCTCAGGGACAGTAAAGCAGAGATTGACATCTTTTCTCTCTGTATATCCACAATAGTGCCATGTACTCTTTGGCCAATATGAAATAAGAGGAGCAAAGGTCTAATGTAAGCAAAAGAGGAAAGATTTTTTTGATCTTTAGTTTTGATAGAACCTAACCGTTTGAGTTTAACTTATTCATGTACCTACAGTCAACTAAAATATATTCGCTAAAGAGTTTGTGCCTTGAAATGCAAATTATTAAGCAAAGATATTGGTGAAATAAATGCAAGTGTTCTTTCCATACGTTCTTGTGAATATTAGTCCCCCCACCAAAGTAAAGATGATATAAAAAAGTATCCACTTTCTAGACTGTGCACATACTTTACAAAATTACCTAAGATCTGCGTGGGCATAGTCAAACTTCAGCTGAGACACATGAATTCCATCAATGTTGTCATTAGTTGACAAGAGTATTGGCACGATTAAAACCAGAGGCTGACACTGAATCTTAACCTGATTATGTCTCCCAAGACCTTAATGTTCCTAGATTCTTCTCAGATCTCACAGCAACACAGATAGAACCTCCTTAACCTTACCTTGACCAGCTCCATCACCAGGTAGAGTTCTGTTGGGGTGTCCATTTCTTCTATCAGCATAATGATATTTGGATGCTTCACTCGACGCAAAATAGACACTTCATTTTCAATCAGGTGTTCCTGTTCAGAAAAAAAGAGAGGAACCTTATCTGAGTAGACATGAAATTTGAATAGACATGGAATTCCCAATTCACTTTGTCTTTGATCAGCTTTTCAGTGAGCACCCTTTTTGATGTTATTTATACAGTAGAGGGCTATTGTGAAATGATACATTTTAACTTGTATTTCAGGCCAGCTGTACTTCATCACTGACCGAATTTAATTTAAAAGACCATATTTTCACGTGTATAACCCATGGGCTAGCTCCAAAAAAACCCTGCAGCAAGACAGCAATTCAAAAAGTGCAGGTTATATTCCTATGTGAGTAATACGAGGGGAAATTTACCTCAGAACCT